ACAGCGGCCCGAGCGGGCCGGCACGGCCCCTGCAGCCCCTGTGTCCGCCAGGTGCCCGACGTGCGGCCGCGAGTCCGGGCGCCCGGCTCCCCGAGCCCGTCCCGGCCCGCGGGGTGGCTTTGTTCCCGCCGCAGACGTGTCCGGTGGACCCGAGACTGCCCACCGCGCCCCGGCGGACGCTGACGTGACAGAAGGGGCCGCAGCGTAATGGTGTTAAAGTTTCAGCAAATTTGGAGATTTTTTTTCTTCTAAATATGTTTATTGTCTTTTTGACGTAAAGAATCGTGAATCCCTTCTTTACGTGGTTTTTAATGAAACATTCCCGAATAACGCCCCCACTGAAGCCCTGCCCTTCTGGGCGCTCCCCGCTTCCCCCACTGCCGCGGGGTCCAAAAATTGGGCGTTTCTGCTTCCACATCTTTTAAAATATATATATGTGGTTTCATAAATTTTAAATGACTGCTTTCTACACAGAATGAATGGTGTCATCTGTAATTTAGAAAATCTCGTTTGACTGTTTCTTAGTTTAAGCATGCCTCATTCTGTACTAGAATAATAGACGTTTCTCTAAACCTTACAATCCGGTGAGTCAAAACTCTCAATTAAAACCATTCTTAAGGCCCTTCTTTCAGGCCAATATGCAGATCTGGGTGTGTGTTTTTCTTTTTCATTGAGAGAGTATTTTCAAAATGACTCTCGCTCCTCTCCCTTTCCTTTTTTTGTTTTAATCAGGAGTAATTTGAAATGGCTGGAGCCTTTTTTAATAAGCTGATTTTAGTGCATTTTTTAAGAAGCAATAAGAAGCAATCTTGTAGATTGATCAAGTCTTGTAATAGAAAATGTTACATGTTTTAATTAATATTTTTTATGGGCAGCGGTAGAAATGCTGATCAGAGGAAGATTGTGCAGGAATTTGTTTATTGATCTTATGGGTTTGTTTAGTATGCAGTATACAAACGGTTTAGTGATGTTTTCCAAAGTAAAAAGTTAAATTTCTATTGTTATCATTAAACTAAATTTTTAAAATTCTGACACAATTGGGCTTTGCTATTTAAGTCTCTTTGCAGGAGATTATTTCAATATTTAAATCATTTCCATTTGTTCCAATTAATTGTGCAGAAGCATGAGGTTTACGTGGTATGCATTATGCATTCCAGTTTCTGTAGGGCACAAGTCATTACAAATCTTGACCTTGTTTTACTTGGCATAAAGTAACCTTTTGGGAAAAATACCTGTTTTTAATATCCTGGTTAAAGAAAGAGCAAACCATAATAAGCTTGTAGGAGTTCTTGTAACTGATCAACAAAACGTGATCAGCATTTTATTTGGAAAGATCACATTAATTTTGTTATACATACACAACCTCTTCCTCCAGCTGCCATAACAAAATACCGTAGATTGGGTGACTCAAGCAACAGTAATTTATTTTCTCACAGTTCTGTAGGCTGAAAGTCCAAGATCTTGGCAGAGAGAGAGCCTTCTGGTGTCTTTGCTGATGGGGATACTATCCCAGCATAAGGGCCCCACCCTCATGACCTTATCTAAACCTAATTATCTCCTCTCCAAATACCATCACGTTGGGTTTTACGGCTTCAACATATGAATTTGGGGGCAGGGGACACAGTTCAGTCTATAGCAAGCTATCACATAATTTAAAATGTTGGTTTGTTTTGTCCTTTATTCTACATACATGAGGACTAATTAAAACTTTTGGTAATTTTTAAAAGCGATTTATCTTTTACTAAAAGTAACTGAGTTGAAGAAAATAATAGGTTAATTTTAGCTTTCTAAATATTTTCGAGTACAAGCTTCCTATAAACGAGAAAAAAACTATAATCCAGAAAGCCATTTTTTAAACAACATTGGGATACTGCTGTTATTCTAAGTTGCTTGATGAATATTAAATTGGAATTTAGGTATCATTTTTAAACACAAATGTGAACTCTTCACAGGTTAAGGAGATTGCCCCAGTTGAATAGATTTACATACGTTCTGTGTGTAAGTTTAGAAACAGGTACACTTCAGCAAACAAGAAAGACCTAGATTTTCAGTTGCGTTATAACATCCCCTTTACATGCCTCTATTGAAAATATAGATCTGAAACATCTAAACCACAATACTTTTTATTTTCAAGGGGTTTCACATCCACTAACTCAAATTACTAAGCCATTTTGTGTGTAGTAGTATTCAAGATTCTTGTTAGTTTTCTGGTATCTTTTGTATATTTCTGTTTTTGCTTTAATTTTTATTAAATCACCTTTTTTTTTTTCATTTATAGGGAATTTTATGTGACATACAGCTAACATGTCCGCTGTAGATAACATTGATTCTCTTAGCTGCAAAGAATATGAGTGAGTTCCCTAGAATGTGGTTATTTTTGAGCTTTTTTAAAGCGGTAAACAATATAGGACGAGGATTTTGTTTCTTGCAGGTTTTTTTCCTCTTATTTTACTTGTAAAACATACAAACAACCTAAATACACTTTTCAAGGAATAAATTGATGCTCAGTAAGTCACCAATAAACAAAACTTTGGATTTTTCTTTTCCATTTTAAAATCCTGAATGTGTAGCATTAGAACTTTCATTACTGTTATCTTTGGTATTACAACTGAAATTTGAAGGAAGTTTACGGTGTTTGTTTAAAATTCAAATTGTACTATAAAGAGATTAGTATTACTGAAGTTGTCCATCCTATATGGTAATTCTTTTTATAGGATCTAGGTTGTGGTGGTGGTTGGTTGTTTTTTTTTGGGTTTGGGGTGAGAGGAAGGAATTTTCCATTTTAAAAAGGACTTTATGGTGAATTAGCTCAGGCACATGAATGTTTCTTAAGCGTGAAACACTTTCATTAAGGGATGAAAATCAGCCTTCAATTGAATTAGTCAGTGTTTATGCATTCTTCATCTCAAAGCCAAATGTACGTTTCTCATCTACCTGCAGCACTCTGTTAATTCTGGATGTGGGTTGATATAATTTTCTTGAGTATAAGACAGAGACCTAAATTTACATTTGTTGAGTTTCAGTAGCTGGAAGAAAATGCTTGCTGAGTAGCAAAGGATCTGTTGAATAAGAACATCGTGTTTCTGTGTTTTTTGGATAGCATTAATTTAAAACAATTTACATTACTGTGGATGCCCTTAATGATGTGTTTAAGTGTAAAGGAAATGAGTCAGTACCTTTGAGCCTGGTTTCTGTGAAGATGTGAAATTTTAAAAATGACAAACATATCTGTTTTGGGCAGATTTTACACTATTAAAAAACGTAACGTTACATTTTCTGTCATGGTTTGAAAGAATCCCATCATATTCTTAATAAAGCAATCTGTTAGACATAGCTGGAGTTTGATTATTTTTATAGGACTCATTATTATTTTTCTTAAATACAAACTAGAGATCCTTTGTTCAGTATTTTTATGCAAAGAAAAAGAATTCTGCCAAAATTTTAATTCAGCTTAATTAGATCAAGTATTTTTATTCTATAATATGAGGCATTCTGTACATACCTGGATAAAAAGCTTTATAATTGTAACTAAACTTACACAAGCAGAACAATGGGCAAATGGAATTTATCTTACAAAGGGAATTGCAATTTTCTTTTTTTGTGTGAGATCAGCCCTGTGCTAACATCCATGCTAATCCTCCTCTTTTTTTTTTTTTTTTTTTTTTGCTGAGGAAGACTGGCCCTGGGCTAACATCCGTGTTCATCTTCCTCCACTTTATATGGGACGCCGCCACAGCATGGCTTCACAAGCAGTGCGTTGGCGTGCACCCGGGATCCGAACTGGTGAACCTCGGGCTGCCGCGGTGGAGGGCGAGCACTTAACTGCTTGCGCCACCGGGCAGGCCCCGGGAATTGCAATTTTTCTGACTAATTGTTCTGTGAATACTTTTTGTTGAGATTAATTTCTGATTTTGGTGAACATGTCTTGACAAAAAGGATCATTAAGGTTAATATTAATGAAACAGTAAAATTTTTTTCAATGATTTTCAATAACATTTGGCTTTAAAAAAAATATTTGTAGACTTAAAATGGAGAAAGGAGCCACTTGTTAAGTATTTTACAGATTTAGAAACAGAAGCCTTAAGAGCTTAAGTGTTTTATCCAATGTCTTGCCTGGAGCTGATACCATAAGATCCTAGATCCTAACTTAACTCCTGCTTTTTCCTACATTCTTTTTTGTTTGTGCTGTACTTTTGCCCCTCAAACTGGTTGTTGAAACTGTTCTTTTTTTGTCAGTGGTAATTGGCATCTTACCCTCTCATGTTAGAATCTGAGTCATTTTCATTTCTTTCCCCTTTTGAAATGTCTGGCAGATCTACCTTTTCTCCATTTCCATTCTCCCTATTCCAGCTGAGCCCTCATAATCTTACGCTAGGATTACTTTAATGACTTCCCAGCAATGCTCCCTTTTCCCGTTCGTTCTATATAAACTACTATGAAACTAATATTTTAGGAAATGCTACCTTTTTCCCACATATTTTTCCTGGCTCTGACCTTATTATGGTTTTCTATTGGTTACTCACATGAGCACATGTTTATCGTGCATTTGCTATGTTCATGATGTCGCAAAGCATTAGGAGAACCCATCTCAATCTATTGTAAGAAGGTGGAGTTTAAATAAATCTGATTTCTACTTCAAGTAATTTATCATTCAGTTCAGGAAACTACGTAAACATTGAGAAGTTTAATAATAGAAAAATAGTAATAATATATTTTTTCTTTTTTTTCTGCAGGTTCCTGTTGCATGTAAATCATGTCCCTGTGGTTACATATTTATTAGCAGAAAACTTTTAAATGCAAAACACCCAGAGAAATCACCACCTTCTACAGGTAATTGTGAGAGTTTACCACATTTTTAGCTTTTTGATATAGAAATTTAAAATTAATTTTTGTGAATTTACTGTTTACATTTTTGTTGAAGTTAAAAATTAAAATCTGTTGAAGTGGGCCGGCCCAGTGGCTTGGTGGTTAAGTTCGAGTGCTCCGCTGTTGGCGGCCCGGGTTCAGATCCCGGGTGCGCACTGGTGCACCGCTTCTCTGGCCATGCTGAGGTCGCGTCCCACGTACAGCAACTAGAAGGATGTGCATCTATGACATACAACTATCTACTGGGGCTTTGGGGGAAAAATAAATAAATAAAAAGAAAAAAAAATCTGTTGAAGTATGTCTTTGCTTTTTATTAGCTGTTGGAAATCAGCTTATGACATTAGTTTGCTGTTCGTTCCATTTAAATGTTAGTTCCCTTATAATGCTGATAAAGCTTGTAACAGATTTTCTGTTTTTTTATTTTTGGAGGATGGAGAGCCGTTGGAGAGTTTTAAAAGCAAGGGACTGACCTGATTTAAAAAAATTTTTTTAAATAGTTTAATTAAGGTATACTTGACTTTCAATAAATTGTACATATTTAAAGTTTGGTGTTTTGTCAAATGTTTACACCAATCAAACAGTTACCACAATCAGGATAATGAACATGTTCATCATTTCTGAAAGTTTTCTAGTTCCCCTTTGTAATCTCTCCTTCCTGCTACCCCAACCCCCAGATAACCACTGATCTGCTTTCTCTCACTGTTCTAGAACTTTATATAAATGGAATCATACAGTATGCACTCTTTTTTGCCTGGCTTCTTTCACTGAGCGTGATTTAAGATTGAGCCGTGCTGTTGTGTACATCAATAAGAATTCATTCATTTTTATTGCTCAGTAGTATTCTTTGTTTGGATATGCCACGGTTTGTTTATCTGTTCACTGGTTGATGGACATTTGGGTTTTTTCCTCTCATAGTGCTGGTAAAATTTGTAACAGTTTTTAAGTTTTTGTTTTTTAGATTAGTGACTGGAAAAATATAACTTGATTTTGGTGTGAATATAATTTTTAGACATATTGGTTATTTTTTATAATTCTCTGATTTAGAATATCTAAAAAATAATTTTGTTTGAATTTTACTTTCCTATTAATATACACGAACAGGATTTATTCAATGGATATATTTATTAAAAGGTGAAATTTTGTTACTTTATTCTTTGATAAAATCAGAACTTCATGCAGTGATGATCCCCAAATAAGAGTAGATTGATTACAAGTATATATTGAACACCTTCTATGTTCTGGGCTCTGTTCCAAGCCTTGGGCATAAAGTAATGAATGAATTTACTATCAAGGCAGGTTCACTGCTGTCATGGAGTTTACATTCTTGTGGGCAGGAGATAGACAATGAACAAATAAATAGGGAGAATATCAGCTTGTGATAAATACATTGTAGCAAATTAAAATAGAGTGCTGTCCTGGAGTGTGACTAGAAGGCTACTTTTGATTGAGTGGTTGGAGGAGTTCTCTTTGAGAGGTGATGTTTAAGTTGAGACTGAATAGGAATAAGGGGCTAGCCATGAGAAGATCAGGGAGAATCTTTGCATTCTTGATAGATGAAATAGCAAATGCAAAAATTCTAAGGCAGAAAAAGTTTGGTATAGTTTAGGAACAAAAAGGGCAATGTGATTGCAGTGTAGACAGTAAGAGCAGGAGAGTGTGGGAGATGAGGTCAGAGGGATAGGCAGGGGCCAGATTATGTAGGGCTTTGTAAACCAGAGTAAAAAACTTGGATTTTGTTCTTAAAATGTGAAGAGAAACTATCCTTAGGATGTACAATGGGGCGAGGCGAAGGTGGCATGCTCTGATTAGCCTTTTAGAAAGATCATTCTGGCTGCTCTCTAGAGAATAGTTTGTGGGGGTACAAGGTGGAAGTGGGCTGTTACAGTATGTTAACTGAGTGAGGATGCCGAGTTAGACAAAGAGTGGTTATAGAAGCAGATGATTCAAGAATGATTTATATTGATGTCTGTGAGAGGTTTCTTTATCCTAGGTCTGTATAGAGGTGGCAAGAAAGTTGTTTAATTCCATTTCTGCCTTTGAGTTTGCTCCCTTTCATCATGATAATGGACTTAATTTATTGGTTCTTAAAGGCGGTTGCTGGATTGGTTACATAAGAGTCTTTCGGAGAGCTTGTTAAAAATGGATTCCTGGGTCTTAGTCCCTAAGAGTTTGATTCAGGTATGGGAACCCTGGAATGATTCATTCATTGGATATGCTAGGGTGGCATGTCAGCCCAGTTCTGAGTCTTCAAAATGAGTAAGACGTGGTCCATGCCCTTAATGGGACAAGTGTATTTATTTTTATTCAACAAGTATTTTTGAGCCCCAACGATTGAGGTGAGAAATAGGTAAGGAAGAATCCCAGCAAGGGCAGAGAGAAGGGACAGATGCTACCAGTGTTAAGGAGTCAGAATCATTTGAACCAGAGGGAAGAATTTAGAAGGACTCCCAGATTTCTGACTTGGATTACTGATTAGAAAAGGAACATAAAAGGGAAGACAAGTTTTGAGGGAAAGATGAAGAATTTAGTTGTGAAATATCATTCATGTGGGGTTTTGTTGTTGTTGTTGTTCCTAGTTGGACATACAGTCTGAAGCTCAAGGAGTAGTCTCAGCTGAAGGTAAAGCTTTTGAGCCATCAGCGAACAGATGGTAGTTGACGTCATGGAAATGGATGGGTTTGTGCTACAGAGTCTGTAGGGTAGAAAGAGGAAGGAGTTCAGTGACTGAACTCTGGCAAACTTCAATCTTACAGGGTGGAAGTGGGTAGGGAGGTCAGGTCAACTGAGAAGAAATGTCAGCTCTAGGAGAACAACCAATGGAGAGTGATGTTACATAAGTCATGGTGATGAGTGAGAAGCACTTCATTAGTATTTTACATTTGTAGTTTCCTAAGGTTCTGTTGTTTAGTAAGAGTGGCTTTGTGACCTTCAAGTGAAGATGAAACATTGAAACCTAGAAATCCCAGGGAGGAGGAAGAGGAACCAGCAAAAACACTCCAGAAAGGATAGTTAGAAAGGATGGAGAAACATCAGGGACAGACTGTACTGTAGAAACCAAAGGAGGAAAGAAGAAGGGTTAACAAGTATTCAAAGCCTGGAAAACAGTTTGGTATTACAGACATGGAGTCAGAAGACCTGGCTTCAGATTCAGATGCCAGTTTTGTCTGTGGCTAACAAGTTAATTAACCTCCATGAGCAGCTGCTGTTTGTGTATAAGATAGATTTATAGTACCAGTCTTAGAGGGTTGAAGTGTAGAGGAAGTACATATGAAAATGTCTAATGTAAACAAAGCATGGTATGTTATAGATGCACAGTAAACATTCATTTTTACAATTAAATTTCCTGAAAGTAAGATTTGCCTTGGATAGTCAATAGTATGTAGGGAATTGAGAAGAGTATAATTTTTAAAATGTCTATAGTTTATCAAGTACTTGATCAATGTTGTCAGTGGGATCTAGAACATTTCAGTTTAAATTAGAGAATTTATAGAAGAAAAAATGAAAATGGATAATATGTATCTGGAAAGATAGTCAGCTTCACCGATAATCAGGGAAATGCAGTTGAAAAAAGGACCATGCTTTTTGCCCACATTCTGACAGTTTGTAAAGGATTTCGAAGTGCTTTTATGAGTATGGCAAAATGAATACTCTCATACTAGTGATGAGAGTGTAAATTGGCACAGCCTTTTTGGAGAACAATCTGACAGTAGTTGTTAAAAGTTTTAAATGCTAAGCGAAATAAGTCAGAGGAAGAAGGTCAAATACCATATGATCTCACTCATAAGTAGAACATAAAAACAACAACAAACAATCACATAGAAACAGAGAGATTGGATTGGTGGTTACCAAAGAGGAAGGGGGGAGGGAGGTGAGGCTAAAGGGATGATTAGACACATGTGTGGTGATAGGTTGTAATTAGTCTTTGGGTGGTGAACATGATGTAATCTATACAGAAATTGAGATATAATGATGTACACCTGAAATTTATATAATGTTATACCAATGTTAATGCAATAAAAAAAATTCTTTTTTTTTTAATATTTTTTTTTTATTTATTTTTCCCCCAAAGCCCCAGTAGATAGTTGTATGTCATAGGTGCACATCCTTCTAGGTGCTGTATGTGGGACGTGGCCTCAGCATGGCCGGAGAAGCGGTGCGTCGGTGCGCGCCCGGGATCCGAACCCGGGCTGCCAGCAGCAGAGCGCACGCACTTAACCGCTAAGCCACGGGCCGGCCCAAAAAAAATTCTTAGTTAAAAAAAAAAGTTATAAAAGCACATAACCTAGAATCTAGACCTCTTTATCAGTAGGTCTGTAGCCTAGAGATATAATTGTTCATAATACACAATGAAATATTTACTAGGATTTTCAGGCCACACTGTTTATAATAGCAAAAAGTTGTTAAGCCAAATATCAGTAGAGGAATGGTTAATTAAGTAGGGTACCTCTTTTAGGGAGCAACAGTATGTGCTGATTAGAAAGAGTGATGCTGATTTTTAGGTACTGACTTGGAGGAAATCTTTAAAACACTTAATTTTAGAAAAAAGTGCAAAACAATACTTGTATAACCTTGTTTTTTTTGTTTTTTTTGGTGAGGAAGATTAGCCCTGAGCCAACATCTGTTGCCAGTCCTCCTCTTTTTGCTGAGGAAGATTGGCCCCGGGCTAACATCCGTGCCCATCTTCCTCTACTCTATATGTGGAACATCTGCCACAGTGTGGCTTGATAAGCAGTGCGTAGGTCCATGCCTGGGATGCGAACCTGCAAACCCCGGGCAGCCGCAGCAGAGCATGTGAACTTAACCACTACACCACCGGGCTGGCCCCTGAACTTGTTTGTTTGTTACAAAAATTTTTTTTTCTTGTGATGAGAACTTTTAAGATTTACTGTTAGCAACTTTCATGTATGAAATACAGTATTAATTATAGTCACCATACTGTGCATTACATCCCCATGACTTAAGTT